TACGCCCTGGCGTCGTCTGGCGTCGGCTGGGCACCGGCGCAGATTTCTTGGATGTGCGGTTGGGGTTATAAGTAGATAGCCTGGTTGTCCAGCTTATAAGTGCACTTACTAACCAACATAGCCTACATACTAAGTCGAACTTAGTCGGACTTAGCGTCGAACTTAGTGTTGAACTTAGTTGGACTTAGCCAAGTGGCCTATGTTCAACGTGTTGTACTTAGGTCGAACTTAGTCCAACATAGCTAAGTGCAACTAAGTAGAACATGTTCAAAAAAAAATCACTTGGCTAAGTTCGACAAGTTGGACTTATGACGCGCCAAAAGTGCCTATACTGTATATAAAAAAACAAAAAAACATAACACTAGTGGAACGAAAACTAAGATAAACATATTGGTTTGCGATAACCATAAATCAAAAAACGCAAAAAAACACATTGTGAGAGCTACAAAAAGCGGAACACAAATATATTTTCGGCTGTTGATTATGTTTAATATATACCCGCAACGCAATGGTTGCAGTGGCGTTTTGGGTATATATTCAAGGCTTTTGACCCTTCCATGAGCATGACAAACAACCATTGGAAGTGCTATATCCTTTTCGAAAACATATATAGAGTGATCCAACCAATACATATAGAAAAACAATCAGGAAGAGTGATCACAAACAAAAACACATCGCACAATATATACATTAAAACCATATGAGGAAGAGTAACACAAAAAGTAACACATACAGAAACATGTTAGGAAGAGTGATTCCAAAAAAACTACATGGTGCATATACAGTTTATATTCAAAAATAAAACACATCTTACGTATAGAAAACAATGTTAGTAATAATGATCCAAAAGAACGTCCTACATATAGAAAAAATGTTAGTAAGAATTAAAGTTTTAACACAACGTACATATACAGTGGAACCATATTAGGAATAGTGATCTTTAAAAAAAATAATGATATTAAACTCTGCGCGCTTATGTGCCACCATGTGCAACCACAAAATGTGGTTCTTGCAAAGTATGATGCCACGTCGAATACCCAAACAGAAGGCTATATTCCACGCAAGCAATTCCACAGTCTATAGTATACGACGTTGGAATTGGATTTGTGCCATGGAGTACTGCATGAAATGAAATCATATATCCGCATCCCGTGAGTTGGATTTGGCCTGGGCATTGTAAAACTGTCGGATGAAATTAACTGAACATTGACGCAGTTCAGCATTGATATACATGGAAAAATCACTTCCGGATGTTAGATAATCAAACTTTAGAGCGTTCAAGATAAAACACAACGATACAACACACCAATCGATGTCAATCTGCCATGCCCTGAATCCACCTATACTGCCTGTTATAACCTGTGTCAGCGAGCCGGTGCAAGGAAACACTGTTGCATTATACCACACAATTAGAACACGTGTATCGCAAGGGTCTCAATGACACATAAACACAAACAAAACAGACATAAACACAAACGAAAAACCACATAAACAGGTCACACTTGCGTAGAAGAATCTGGCATGGATGAATTTCCCGGTCGCCGCACGTTTTTTTTTCATTCTCTCTGCTGCATCATCAGACTCGTCATTCCTGGCAAGTGCTCGGCTCGGTGGGATGGAACAACGGATGAAACAAATCACTGCAAACTGGTTGGCA